CCAGACATGGAAGGTCTCTCTTTTAGACAAAGTCTCATCATTTTCATATTATATACAATGCATAATTATATGTATTTTCAGGACATTTGTTAATAATTGGGCTATCTTCCGAATAACGGTCCCAAATAATCGAGGCAGAAAATATACCATAACCGGGCCCCAGTCACGTGTCTCACACGTCCGGCGACTTAAATTGCGCACTTCTGCCACCGCTTACGCGGCATGGATTGGGGCTAAACTAGATGGCTTGGACTCACGAGCAGCAGCTACTGCATTTCCTGTAGCTGCCTTTATTTTATTTGCTCGTGTGTCCCAGCCATCTAGTTTAACCCCAATCCACGTCGCATAAGCGGCGTCTGGAATACTCTCGGCGGTGGCAGTATAGTCCCCGGAAGTTCGTAATTCGGCGGTGGCGGTGTAGTCCCCGAAAGTGCGCAATTGACACGTGACTGAGGCCCTGTTAGGGTATATTTTCTGCCTCGATAATTTGAAACCGTTTTTCGGAAGATAGCAAAAAATAATATTTGTATTATTATCTACTTAAAAAAGGCGTAGGTGCCATGAGCTTCCCCTCACAGATACAATTAACGCATTTGAGCCCTCCACTCAATAAATCCTTGCAAGACAACAACAGACCCCAACCTTCAATGTCCTCTCTTTGTCCGGGTCCCTGTATTAATTGTATACTTTATACACACGTAGCCACCAGAACACTGATATGTGAAGAAGAATGTAAGTGCTTGCACAATACTTGTACGAAATATCCAGTAATTTAAACATATCACTTGACATTTTTGTGAAGTCTACAGACAACCTTCATGTCATCTGAGAATCAAAGAGTGGTTAACCATTTTCATTGTCCTGCAAAACGATGAATATATTATCGCCTATTTCCCACGTCAATAATTACAATTAGTAGGCACATTACTGTGTACCTGCCACAAAATTACGAAATGATTTGATTTGATTTGATTCAAGAACCGACATCACAGCACCCGGGGCATTCCCAATAGCGCTCCGTGTCCATCTTCAGCAGCCAGCGAAGGGTTCCGACAATCTGCACGCTTCTAGTGTTTGTTCTGTTATTAATTGCTTTTAATCTTTATTCGCCTCATTCAAATGTATTTACCACTGTCTGTATTCAATGAAGTTAGTATATAGTTTCTGTGTACAATGTCTTACCATGTTCATTATGCCAGGCAGCCTCATTATTAGATTGACCTTAATAACATTAGAACAATAAACATATGAAATGACTATAGGAAGAAAATATATAAAACCTAACGAAAAGTATATTAGCAAGCTTCACAATATAACAAATACAAACAAAACGTGAACATTGCGGCTATGTGGTCTTCATCAGCAAATACAAATTAAACAATACTACAGAAATACACACAAAAGTGAATGAAAAAAAAAATAAAACATTGAAATATAAACAAGTTTGTTAAAAGTATGTTTCCCAAAATAAAAATAAAAGTTACCGTAATAATGGACAATATGGAGGAGTGAGACCGGTACAAACAGATAGTAGCAGTTCTGGGCGGATGGGACACACGAGGTGAGTGAGATTAATGAACTGCTGTAAAGCTATAAAAATATCAAGAAAATATGTAACACCGAACGAAAAGTGTATTAGCAAGTGTCACAACATAACAAATACAAATAACACATGAACGTTGCGGCCATGACGCCTTCATGGGCACATACAAATTAAACAAATACGAAATGTCTAAGGATGTATTCTTGCCACGTTTATTAGATGATAACAAATCATGTAGAGACTGAAGCGCTGCCATCCACAATATTTTTGCAAGTCAAAGACTTCTGAAACTTTTGTCGTTTCTAAAATTACTTTCATGAGGTACATGTGTGTGTACCTGTCAAAGATTTTAAATATCAGAACTTTTAAAGGCAATAAATTCTAGTCAAATGTAACAGTCTGCCAGGTGTACTCGAAAGTTGCAATAGATTTGTTCTGAAGTGTAAGATATCACGTGACAATATGCACTGGCCATACAAAAACTGTTGCAGGCATTGAATGCAAAATTGCACATTAATATAGACTTATGACGAGGAGTAATCCATGCATGCCGAATGCTCGTTTGATTTGCCCTATTTCCCTGCCTTCACATTTGATCAATATCAAGGAATATGTTGTATAGTTTCCCCTGTTGGTATTTTCCTCTATCTAAGTTTTGTGTTTGTATCCCTTGATTTTCATTTTTATAATACAGTTGTGTCACTTATTTTTTTCGTTATTGTTTTGTGTAAAGGCATTGAGCTGCCATTTCAAAGACTTTAACACTTACTGCAATGTACCTCACAATCTTTGTCAGTACATATTTTAACTGACACTTAAATAATTAGGCACAAAAAATATCTGCAACAATTTGTATGACTATTCTACTGGCATAAATAGTAAGCTGATATACAACAATAGACATTGCAATTTAGGACATCGAAAAGGCAGCTGATGTCTATAAGACGTGCGTCGAAGAACAATTTTTCCCACATTAAATATACTTTTGTTGCTATCTTATCCTCTATCATCCATTTCTAACGTGCACTTCAATTAGTATTTATCGAGGTTTGTGAAAGTTAATTATGTTTACTTGATGCCTTTGACCTGACAAACGAAACTTCTCATATTTGTTTACTTTTATTGAATGGTAGATCATGGATAGCTGGAAAAAAATCAACGAATCTTTCTGGTTATCCTCTCCATACAAACCCCGTGTATGGGTCACTATAATCTCTTGTGTCGGGGACAAGCTGGGAATAGTTTTAGCACTCAGAAAGCTATTTTCCTGATTGCGACTAATTTTTAACTCGCGAGAATCTTTATAAAATTGTGCTGGCATACGGACAATAGCATATATATATATATATATATATATATATATATATAAAGATATATATATATATATATATATATATATATATATATATATATATACATTTTTTTTTTCATTTTTTTTTTCCCATTTTTTATTTCAATTTCAAACTCTTGTTTCCACTTCAAAAGTGAATTGCAGAAATTAAATCAAATGACATTTAATATTTGAAATGCCTAATTAACTCAAGGTTTTGTGACCTGCTGCTAAAAAATCTGAGTTTAAATAAGTTCAGTTAATGACTGATGTTTCTAATTAAGTGCAACTAAGTAATGTTGTGTTTATAAAGGTTAATTAATCAATACAGTGTCTCAATACTGGCAATTAATTAATTATTTGTATAAATAAGTTTAATTGATCAATATTCTGTCCAAATTAGCACAGTTAATTAACATTTGGGGAAAAAAAACATGACCTCTAGCAACTCAGGGACAACTGTACATAAAAGACAAATCAACACACAGCAAATTGACTTGGAAACTATTCGCATGCAAAAACCACACACGGGTTTTTTAACTTCGCTGCACTCGTGAATGCTTCACTGTAAATAAACAATCCCGGCCCCGCCCTTTACAAAAGATATCTCAATCAAAATGCTCTGTATAGAATGTACAAGATGATTTATTTTTTAAATTTTTTATAAATGTTATAAATTGTCATGTTTTTAAAACGCAATACAAAATTACTCGAACATATGCACGGCTCTGCAATAACACTGAACAAAAAGTAGCACATGTATAAACAGGCACACAATTTTAAACAGATAAATAAAAGCATTTCAAAAACGAAAAAAAAAAATTAAAAAATTATAATAACCTGATGGAAACATCAGCTGTCTGTATTCCAGTCGACCCATTCCTGCCCCCCTGTGTATTTGCTCGATGAACTAGCCTGATGGTATCCTTAGCTTGTTGAACTTTAGTCTAGAATCTTTCAAGTTGCAATGCAGAGGATATCTTTCATCATTAGTAAATCACATGTAAGCCTCAGATTGTGCCAGTGACAGTTCGAAAACTGTTGGCGGCATGCCATACAGATTTACACAACCATATCGACTGTTTGATGTTGAGTAATCTAAGCATGCCAAATGCCCGTTTTATTTGCCCTCCTGACTTGACTTCACAATTCATCAGTATATAAAAAAAATTCATTTTAATGTTTCCCTTGTTGAGTATTTTCTTGTACTGTGTTTTGTGCGAGTGTCTCTTGTTGTTAATTACTATAACACAATTGTGCCATTTACTTGTTCGTCACTGTGTGTGTTGTGTGTGTGCGTGTGTGTTTGTGTGTGTGTGTAGGCATTATGATGCAATCTCAAAGAATGAATCATTTACTGCTGAGTAGCTCATAGTCAGTGTCAGCGCATATTTTTGTTTAGTGAATCGCAAACGATATCTTCCACAATTTGTGTCACTATTTTACCAGTATGACGAATGCGCTGATATACGATAATAGACATTTATTGCAGTTTAAGACAGGAACAAGACAGCTGGTGTTACCATCTTATATCCTCCATTCACACATTTCTTTAGTGCGCATTTGCTGACATACATCAATGTTAGTGAATGTGTCATTACATACATTTTTGATGATCATTTAGTTTAACTATTTGGTTTAAAGTGCGTCTATCAGTTCTGAATTCTGCCTGGGTTTTGCTGAACCGGTTTTTTTTTTTTTTTTTTTTTTGAAAGTGGAATGTTACTCTTTTATTTATGACTGTCTCTAGATTGCCAATACTGTAGAATGGAAAGAACTGAGATCTGAATTTAACTAAACAGACTACATATTAAGGACAGCCAAGAGCTACTAATGTTGCAAGTTATATTGTTCCATTCGCCAAGGAATGCCGTATTCCACCAGAACGAACTTAAAGCTGAGTGACGTTCGAGATTGATTTGGATTGCTTCGATGTTAAATGACGTTTTTCTTTGAATTGTGTCAATAAATTTGTTTAATAAGTAGATAACTCAACTGTCTGATAATGTCAATTGGAATGTTTGAATTCCTTGTTTGATGAAGTATTTTACTCTTTGATTTCTTTGAGTTCAATTAAAAATGTATTGAACATATCGGTTCGCTCGTGGTCCAGTTTTAGGCAGTGGAATGAGTGGAGACGTTGTGTTAGCAACCTCGCTTGTGTCTCCTAACCATAAGAGAGCCGTGAAGATTTTGTCATTGCTGACTGCTGATGGAGGGCTTGCGAATACGATTTTGTTTGATAGAGAAGTCAACATTTTACAAGGACTGTCTCATCCACATATCATCAAACATACTATATCTGCCCGCTGTCCTGACTACTTGGCCATCTGTACTCACTACTGTCCTAACGGAACACTGGCCTTTCAGCTAGACACCATGAACCCAGAGTTGTGTGTCAAGTACTTCGTCCAGATAGCGTGTGCTGTGCGTTATCTCAATGATAAACTGAGAATAGTACATAGCGACATCAAACCTGATAATATTTTTATCAACACCAATAATGACCCAGTTCTTGGAGATTTTGGATTATCCTTTTTCATTCCACCAGGCGACACTGTGGTCTCTACGAAAGACATTCATTCCACCAGGCGACACTGTAGTCTGTACGAAAGACATTCATTCCACCAGGCGACACTGTGGTCTGTACGAAAGACATTCATTCCACCAGGCGACACTGTGGTCTGTACAAAAGACATTCGTGGCACCGGGTGTTTCTCTGCTCCAGAAATAGACTGTTATGAGTTTGTGGATCGTTACAAGCTGGACATGTACTCGCTTGGTGTGACTCTCTGGTGCATGATGTTCTCGGCAGAACCAATCTTAGGCAACATGTACGAGCTTCTTGATGACCCCAATTATTTCGAGGTTGCCCCTGATACTCAAGGCTGGTGTCTGTATACCACGATGGAATATGACCCATCATTAAGATATTCAGCGGTATCGATACTGGCCGAACTTCACGAGCATGATGTTCACAGGGACATCATTGACAGCCTGTAAGTATGCATTTCTATGTGGTAAAGAAATCTCCTGGGAGATTTACCAGCCAAGGTTTCACTGCAGGTAATGCCATTTCTGAACACACACACAGCAGATTCCAGTGAAATATAATATCCAAATAAGAAAATCCACAAGTGAGAATATCCGCACGATCTTGCAACCAGCACGCTAGAAAACGGTATGGTCAAATAGGACACCGGATTCTGGATTATATGTAGACTTTGGTAACCACAGCCTGGGATTTTTTTGATAATATTCAATGGCTAATAATTGGACACAGGTTGTATGGGTCGTTATAAGTATAAGTGTTTCTTGTTATTGTAGCCACCCCCGCCAGAGCCGACAATGTTGACAAACTGTGTATGGGTCGTTAGGAGTATAACTGTTTTTTTTTTTTTTTGTTATTGTAGTTATTCCTGTCAACGTTGACAATGTTGACACAGGTTGCACGGGTCGTTAGAAGTAGAAGCGTTTCTTGTGATTGTAGCCACTCCTGCCAGAGCCGACAATGTTAACATGGCTGAAACTTTCAAGTGGCAGGTAATGAACTGGCCCGATAATCCGACCAGCTGTTAGCTGCTGCCGGTACTTGTGACACGATTTGATGGCTTGGATTCGAGGCCATAACAGGTGGGTCACCACAATAGAAATCATTTGATATTGTGTCTTTTACATGATAGATTTTGTCACATTACACGCACGGCTTTTTTTTTTTTTTGTTTATAACGTCCATTCTTTTTTGCAATGAAAACACTTTCATACATTCAGCTTCTTACTAGAGATCCATATATGACAATAAGTCTATCACCTTTCATGAATTAGTTCTTGTACCGATGATTCTGTTTGCTTACCTATCGATGTCCGACACCATCAGAGCAAAATTACTATCTCTGTAAAAACAAACATCGTTGTTGTGTATATCAGAGAGTAGTATGTGAATCTCGCCATGTAGGCAATGGAGGCTCAACACGTAACATTCTCATACTCATAGTCTGTTCCAAAAATGGTGCCCGACTTGATAAACCTGCAAATCAGCAATTATTCTGTCTAAACTGTTGCAATTTGGCTCGCAACATGTGTATAAGCATGTGCCTGTAGGGAAAAAAAATGATAATGTAAACAGACATCAAATTGCTAATTTGCCCTATTTGCAGTAAAATAAAAAATAAAAAAAAAAAACAGATATAACGCGTACGATTAGCTTGTTTAAGTCAATATCGTGACGTGAACTTTTTAAAACATCAAACTGCACATGTTTTGGAAGTAATCGGTTTGAAAACCCAAGGCAAACACACGCAAAAAAAGTGAATTGGTTACATCATGTACTGTAATCACACTTATGTTAGTGTAACCCAGTTCATAAGTGTTTTAATCTCATGTGATTTGTCTCCTGTCTTAGCCTTCCGTGAGTTATGTAAACATAATATGTCTTTGTATGCAGGATATGTTATCAAAACAATAACCACGTATCACTGCACATGTGAATTGCCGCCTAAACCAATCTCCATGCTTATGGTTTCAGGTAGGCGATTTGTGTCAATTACTGCGTTTTTTTTTTTTTTTTCCTTAGGGGTACAGAAACTATTAGTCCAGCAAAGACCAAGTAATTTGCTTCTTTAAATCAACAGCAGCACCTGTGCGACTGTCAATTATAAAATCATACAGGCATGGACAATCTTGACCCACCTGCAAAAAATAATACTGTTTAGTACAGAGATAATTAAGACTTTTGTTTAAGTTTGAGGGTACGATATTAGGAACAGACAATAGCAAATGATACAATGCAGGCAATCTCCATTGTAGAGACAACACCACTGTTTGTCCTAGTCTCTGTAGTTAGAAACAATAGCGACTGCCAACACGAAATTAGGACGAGTCTTAGTTTATTAATTAAGAGAACACACATCTTTCTGTGGCAACATACAGATTTAACTGATGGACATACTGTGCAAATAAGGCGTTTGATTTAGTAGTAGTAGTACGTTTTACCCCACTAGGACATCACACAAGCGATAAACACTCGATGACACAAAGTACCACTATGTGGATAAAGATCACCCGTGGAGAGGTCCCGGAAACAGCATTCGGCCATTAGACCTTTTTTATGGCCGGACTATATTGCGGTCTCTGGCACGTCCCAGAGCATGGCTTCAAAATAACCAAAAATGGCCTCCCACAATGGGGTAGGCAGGTCTTGATTGGTACGGGCTTTTGAACTAAAATGTTAGAAGAAGTTGGGACAATAAGTATGTAAAGATATAAATATGGAATAAGGCAGAGATAGTATTTTTCTAGTTAACTAAAATAAATTGTATAATCATTCAAAGAGCGTACACATGAGGATGTGATCCCTGGAAGAAGGGACACGTCAATCAGAAAAGATCAGTTTTTCAATGATACCAGAGGTCAATTCAGATGTCATGCTACGCCAGGTCCTATTACAAGTGTGTCGTTCTAGGAAGGGTCTGCTACCTAATTAAACAAGGGAAGCAATTCATCTGTGGATTGATTCACGACAGCAATGCAGTTGACATAAAATTACATAACATGCTCACTATATGCATGCGATACTCGTAAATGTCCAACAAACTTCGTGGACATGCAAAAACAAAATGAACTTTTGTAATGTTATTTCAATAATCGTTGTGAATAATTTATTCTAAACACGATATTTCAAAGCTGCATCCTATTACATCTCGGAAAAGCCAACGTTGCTGTTAGTAACATTTTACCACTGCAACTGTAGACTCCTCTTTATTTTTATTTATTTTTATCAGGTGCACAAAGCTGCACCTTGTAATTAAATGTGTATGATCATAAACATTTTCTTTAGAGTGCATCCTTAAATATAATGGTAAAATACGCTGTTTTTCTTTTAATAAAGAAGACGGTAACGCAGAGTTCCACTTCCGATGGTACCGGTAATAGTCAGAACGTATGTCTGCCATGCCTTTTCAGTGATTGTTGAGCATCGGTTAGGACCCCTGGTCTCTCCTCGCTGCACAGGACTCCTCGAACAGTTGTGATATATTGCACCACTGCACAGTTCATTCCTTCCACCCCCTCCCTCAGGACCCTTACAAAAACCAGTTTGTAATGCATCGATGTTCTACCTAGTGGTATAGAACCAGCCATTCTATCTACATGTTCGTATGCCGACATACATTCATTTCCTGGATAACAACCCGAAGAATGTTAACTATAGTTGATCTCTCAAGCGATCCATACCAATACTCAGTACGGAGTCTGCATACCTTCTCAGCTTTTTTCAACATGCTCTGTGAGTTAGTTGTAACCACGATATGTGTGTGCAGCTGCCTCTCAACATGCTCTGTGAGTGAGTTACAACCAGGGCATGTGTGTGCAGCTGCCTCTCAACATGCTCTGTGAGTGAGTTACAACCAAGACATGTGTATGCAGCTGCCTCTCAATATGCTCTGTGAGTGAGTTACAACCAGGGCATGTGTGTGCAGCCGCCTCTCAACATGCTATGTGAGTGAGTTACAACCACGACATGTGTATGCAGCTGCCTCTCAACGTGCTCTGTGAGTGAGTTACAACCACGACATGTGTGTGCTCTGTGTTACATCTGGAGCCAACTGTATAGACAATCACTTGGGTGGGAATTGGTCATAAATCATTTGTTGAACTACTGATTCTGCGGTACTAACGGTTCATGCTGTATTTTTCGTGGGGAAAAAATCTATATTTTCTGACTCGGCATTATTACGTGGTGTCAAACCAAATAATGGCAGTTTGTACGTAACTGGTGATAAACCTAACTCTAATTATTCGGCTTGTTATTTGTTTTTGCCCGGGTTAGTTTACCGAAAGGAAACAACATTGAACTGCACACACATGGAGGCCAATTACACCATGTAATAGAACGGAGACAGTGAGCTATTCATATAGATCTAAAAGAAAATTAAAGTATAATAGTATAATTATTAATAAAAATAATAATAATATTAATAATAATAATAATAAGGAGAAGAAGCACAAATCTTGACAGGAGATCACGATTCCAAATAGCGTGTGACAAGACGACCACATATCTGAATGAACACAGCAAACAACAGATTCTATAAAGCAAAACCTGTTTTTTTTTTACAAAGACGGAGTGATGAGACATTATAGTGCACACTGAAATGCAGACATAGAAACAAGTGGAGTTAAGATCACATTAGAGAAACTGTTTTCATATTCAGCAATGGCATGTTTTTATAATGGTGGTGGTGGTTTAAAAAAAAATTATATTTTGTTTAAATTGTGGGCGTATTTGTAGGCTATTGTAATCTTATTGTCCAAGAGTTAAAGTTTCTTCTAGTTTCTTCTAGTGGTCACAGCGCAGGTGAAAGGTTCACACAGCGGCCACGGGTCGGGTCGTTACCTAGGATACGAGCTAATTGAATTCTGGGCGATTAACACAAAGGCTCCTGCAGAACACAAAGGATTCGGCAGTCAAGATATTTCCCTTGTTCGAGTCAGACGTTTCCTCTTTGAGAGGTTTTGATTAACCGTACTTACGGGAGACAGTTTAATGTCTTTTTATTTATTATAATGGCAGGAGTCCATTGAGAAAAAAGTGTAATTCTTTTATATTCTCAGAGTAGATAATAGGGAGTTATTATCGTACGTTTTATTGAATAATCATCATCATCTTGTGACGTGTAATGTTAATGCTATTAAAGTTTATGTGGCCTGTCACAAGCGTTATTGTTGGCTTGTAAAGATAGCAACTGTATTACATGATGCTGGGCCAAATGGGCCAGTTATAGTATGCAGGACTTCACTGTAGCACATCCATCAAGGAGATATCCAGCGGAATACTAGAATAGGCACCCTAGGCCTAAATACTTGGTTCTTGAATATCTTCAACAAAGAGTACAACAAAGTGTACAAAATTAAGTGTACAACATAGGCGCCTGCCAAATATTTTAAAAGCCGATTTGTTGTGACTAGAATTGATTATTCGCCATATAATGTAGACATGTCGCTAG